TCAAAGCATATGTGAATATTAAATAGTGATGTATGATTTGAAATGCTTCGAAAATAGAGAATGGTAAGACTATGAAAAAAAAAGGACTAGATAAATATAACTACTTTTCTATTTGTTCTTTTTTTGAAATCAAGTCTTATCTAGAATCTTCACATGTCCATGATAAACTAGTAACAACTTCGTATACTATCTTTATTTTATCAATTGGAGTTTGCATAAACTCCAGATGGACAACAAATAGTAGTCGTATATTTGATCGTGTTAGGATTAATGAGGAAAAATACATTTGATTGTTGAAAGGTAGTATCCAACGTTTTCATTTTCAAAGTAATAATTTAGAATTATGAGAGGTAGATACATACTTTCGAAAAGGTAATCATATAGTTCTATAAACAATAAATCCAATCTTCATATGAGTGTTGTCATTTCAATTTCTATGTTATATTAGAATTATTATGAAGAATATCAATAAAATCTTGAAATTTATTTAAATAAAAAAGCATATATTGTTTCTTTATTTCTCAATTTCAAAACTATTGGTAATCATTAAATAATGAAAAGATGTTTTTCTTTTTTATTCCTTATATAATAAATCTATGTTAGTAATTATAAAAAAAAAACTATGCTATCTGAAATAAATTGTAAAACAATCTGAGAAGTTTCGAATTACTATATCTAAAAATAATATTACAAATTACATTTTCCTTTGATATAAAAACAAAACCGAAGAACTTCTAATGTGGTTGTACGACACTTACAAATGTAATAAACAAAAAACAGAAAAACAACACTTCTTGTTCTTCTCTTCTATCGTCGTAACTAAAGAACTTTATTTTTTTATTTCTATTGACGTTGAATGTTTTCTGCATTTTTTTTTCTTCTTGCCTATAAATCTATAGAATGGCATTTTCTTGTTGTCACTACACTTTTTACGTTTGTTATTGTCAAGGTTTATTCTCTACATTTTCATAATGGTAGAAGAACATCAACAAAATCAAAATTTATCAATAGAACAACCACGTTGGATTGGTGATAGTACGATCGTACATCAATTCGAAGATATTTATGATCTTGATGAATTAATTAATCGGTAAATCGTTGAATCAAAAATTATTTGTAAAAACAAAAAGAAATAATTTTGTTTTGTTCTTTTTATAGTGGACAATTTGCTGATGTATACAAATGTCGATTAAAAAATCGTCAAACAATACGAGCAGTTAAATGTATTCCAAAACGCGTAAGTTATAAAATATAGAATAATGAAATTTATAATTTATTTCTATAGGGTAATCGAAAAACACCAATTAAAAATGCTTCACATGTTCTACAACTTGATCATCCAAATTTGGTATTTAATATTTAGAATTCAAAATTACTTCTATATAGATCTATGAAGTTTTCAAGAATGTTCATAAGTATCTTATTAATTAGAGCCGCCAGCATAGCATACTTACTCTTGTGATTAGTCAGTGTGTTTGGGAGAAGTTCAAGCAATTGAGTGTAAGAATTCTCTATCAGACTCAGTGTTTCATCCAACATGAAGGAAGCGCTTTCCAAAGATCGGGTTGGTCGTCCCAGTAGAAAAAAACCTGAATAACACACTGATCAGGCTGGTCTTCTGTTGAAGGCTATAGCTTGTCATAATTGTAGGGAAGATGTCAGTTCATTAAATTTACCGTTGTAAAAATGTAGTAAAACCAGCATAATTCTGTAGATATGACCTATGTATTTGAATTGTTTTAAGAAACCTTCTAATCTAAAAGATTTTTCTATACGAAATTCAAAAATTATGAATTAATTTTAGTCCTTCCCTTTGTAAGTCCTAATTATTATGTAATAAGCAATTATTCTAAATATCTATTTATTGTTCAAAAGGTTGTCATTCGTGAAATTGTGGAATCACCATCACATATTTATATTGTTCAAGATTATGTTAATGGACCGAATCTTTTTCAAAAGTAATGAATTATTTTCAAAATTAAAATGATTGATTATTATTATTTTTTTTAAGAATTACTCAAATAGAAGTCTATCAAGAATATGATTTATCAAAATATTGTTTTCAAATATTAAAAGGACTTCAGGTATTCAAAAAAAAGAAAAAAAAAAAATTGTTATTTATATTTTTAGTATATGCATGAACGTAAAATTTATCATGGAAAACTCCATGGTGAAAATATATTAATTCGTGATATTAATAATGAACAAAAAATATGTCTTGTTGATTATGCTTATGCAAATTTATGTACACATGATGCAATTAGTCTTCTTGTTAATTATTCACCAAGTTTTTGTGGTAAACAGAAAAAATTAATTAATTAATTAATAATCATTTTCTTTGTTATTTAATTTTAGCACCTGAAATATTACGTGGTGAATCCATTTCTGCATCAACAGATATGTGGCAATTGGGTATATTGATTTTCTTTTGGTAAGGATTTTTTTTTTAAAAAGAACGACATTTTTAATTATATCTGATTTAGTCTTTCGGGTAAATATCCATTTCATGGTACACAAAAAGAAATTTTTCAAAAAATTCTTAATGGTAAAATTGAATATAGTTCATTAGAATGGGATCATGTATCAATAAATGGAAGAGTATGTATTAATTGATTTCTTTTCTTTTTTTTAAAGAATTAATTTTCATTTTTTATAGAATTTTGTGACTAATCTTCTTAAAGTAAATTCTCGTAATCGTCTCACAATTTATCAAGCTTTTTCTCAACCATGGATTAGTGAAAAAGTTTATCGTTCAGAAAATTTATCTCAAGCTCAAACAAATATTATTGCTTATCAAACAGAAAAAAATAATTTAAATACAAACGAAACATAATTTTTCGATATTTATTTCTTTTCTTTTTTTTCTAATAATAATAAAATATTCGATTTATTTTTATTATTATTATTATTCTAGAAAGAATTTATTATGTATTAGTATAATAATATGAAACTTGTCGATTTTAATGTCTTTCTACTATATCCAATCGATGATAGATTAGTTTGATTGCAATAACTAATAATATAGCAGCTAAGACAAGTGTAGCAAGAATACCAGCAGCTGGAAAGCCACGTTTTTGCATCCAACGAGATGTTGTACTTTCGTAGGATGATTCAAGACATGAATGTGATGATTTTATTTTAATACAACTATAAAAATCAAAACAAAAAAAAAAAGAAAGAAAGAAAGAAAGAATACTCATATTAATTATTGATAAATCTAGATAATTTATTCTTAAACGATGAAGAATTTAACTTACCGACAAGTGACATTTTGTCTTCGTCCTTGACATATATGACAATTAATTGATATTATTACATTTTGATGAAGACAAAGAAAACCACATGATGTATCATGTTGACATAGATTGAAACATCTATTAGTTGAAAGATTATTTATTGTTTTATCAATAGGATAGAAATCATTATGTGTAAATAATAATGTTTCTAATTGACAATGTTGACAATGTTGTATTGAATGTAGCTTATGAAGACAATGTATATGATTAAGACAATGTGAAAAATTGATGAGTGATGGTATAAGTTGAGTAAGATCAAATGAAGGTGGATAAAATTTACTTTCATGACATTGACGAATAGTAAGAGAATTATCACATTGAGAAAGAGATATTTTAGCAAGAAATATAGAACGTTGATATGATGAATGACAAAAACATAATGGTGAATATTCTTGATTGGAGGATACATTCAATTTATCTTTAACTAGAGAAATTATATTGAAGTTTGATTTTGTTTTTATTTAATTATTTATAAGAAAAGAAGAGATTACTCAACAAATACTTACCATTCATATGATCAAAACACATCATAATAACTATAACATTAGTCAGAACAAGTATCTCATGTATTATGATATTCATATTTGGCATTGATTTTGTACTTCATCGATGTCGATTGTTGTGCTTATATATAGTGCCTAAGGATGATAATGATCTATTGTTCAAACGTTGTCTTCAGAGAGTGATTCAATCAATACTTGTTCTTTCTTTTCTGTTTGATTACAATCATATTTTTTATAATGACTCATCAGGGATAGATCCATCATCAAATGAAAGAATCAAAACAACAGAGAGAAAGAGAAAGTAAAAGATATTTAATCGTGTTATATCTTGTTGTTATCTACGTATATGTGATAGTACGAAAATAGGAAAACAAAACATGAAGCAATTACAACTACTCTGTTATCACTAGTTGAAAAACTATGTCCAAGAGAACAAAGAAAAGATTTGTTTTTCCATTCATCATTGAATATTATTAGTTTTTTTGTTTGTATTTCAATCAGATTGTAAATACATGAAAATCCATATTAGCTGAATTTATTATTCAAACAGTTTTAAGAATAAAAGTACTTCTATTTGAAAAACAACATCTACTGAACTGAATGTAGCCTTTTCATCATTCAACTACTTCAATTATATATAGTATCAAAATTGTGAAACCGGATGGAAGACAATTGATTTCTTCAATTTTGAATGATGTCTTTGCAAGAATAACCATTTCTTCTTCATCGTTGAAATAATTAGAAATCAAAGAAATGCCATGCATAATAGTTGGTATTTGGCGATAGGGAACAAATAAAGCATCCATTATTCCACCTGTATTCATGTAGATACACCAGATAGAGAATAGTAGAGAAATGACAGACGGAATTTTTGCACATCATTCAACAATGTCTCACCGTTTGGATGTCAATGTAGATAGTTCAATCAAGATTATCTTATCAACAATATACTATTTGTTTCAAAATATAGTATGTTCCAGTATTTTTTGAATAACTGAAG